TAATTTGATAAGCTTTCTAGAAAGTCCAGGATCACTGCATTTGGATTAGTAGAACTCCAGTTATGAGTAAAACAAGTAGCTGCTATTTTGTGATATAGTCGATGCATTGTGGAAGTAGTTAATTAAATAATCGAGAAGAGATATGCACCTACTCAATAAACATGATGCACTTGTTAACATATATGCATTCGTAATACTTATGCCATATTCATGCATCTAGGATCGGAGGAAGAAATAATGTTGCTGGAATTCGACGAAGTAGAGGAAGGGGACCAGCAGGAGAATCCTCAAGTCGCAGCTCCCGAAGGCGAGGAGCAGAATCCTGAAGAGCTTCCGGAGTGTCCTGATCACCGCCCTACTTCCTTTCTACGAGGCAAGCCCTAGAGCATTCTAAGTCTCCCAGTATTTTACAAATGATTACTTAAGTACTTATGATTGATGCATTAGGTTATAAGAGTTGAATGGAACCACTTGATGCATATACATTTCTTGTCCAGCTATTACACCTTTAACCGGTATAGGTCCAGGATCGAATATATGCTTAGCCATGCTTAGACCGATAGAAGTCGGGTGATTTCCTGTCACCTGCGAGATATAGGTGGATACCGGAGCACGGTTGGTTATAATTGCTATTGTGGAAAAGAACCATGGTTAATGTAAATGGAGACCGGGCGGGATGTCGATAGAGAAGCAACAAGACATGGAGGTCTTGGGTGTGGATCTATCCCTGTCTGTGTCGATTAAGGACCGTACCATTGTTGGTGCTTCTAACAAGATTGAACGTATGCCTATCACTTAGCTGGCCGGATAACTCGTTCCGACCATGAAGCCGAGTAATTCAACTCAGGCCGGGACACATTTTGTTGTGCGCTCCTTGCGGGGGGCGATCAGACTGAGCCCAAGGGCAGGCTAGGCCTGAATGTCCTGGCATCTGGTGTCCCAGATTGTGCGGCGTAGTACGGACCCACGAAATGTAGACCTGAGTTGTACCAAAGGTGACCTAAGGCTGCCTTCATGCGGTATGCCTGGGTTTGTGTTAGGAATAAATTCCCAGCTGGTTGAAATCGATTCGAATCGCCGTCTCTCCCGGATTGTGAGAAACTTGGCTAGTTCCAACATCGTAGTAACTGTGTTATGGAACATGATGGTTCGAATGAATATGGAATTACAATACCTGCTATGGTTACTATTGTATGCTTTTAAATTTATATACCAGATGTTTGGCATAGGATAGTTGCTAATCTAGAGATGGATAGTTATAAATAATTGATAAAGGAATCCTAATTGTACAATAAGCCAATTGCTTTTATGCAAAATGTTGTCAAGCTATCTCCACTTATACAGCCTTGCATAATCCTTGGAGTCATTTTATTTCTGGTTTATGGCGGGTAAGTCTAGCTGAGTACCTTCTCGTACTCAGGGTTTTATTTCCCATGTTGCAGATGGCACTGTATATCATGGTTATTGCAAGAGTTGCTTCTATCCCGCCGTGGATGAGGAGTAAGCCTTGGGCAGGCTTCTTTATTAATCCCTATCTTTGCTTTTGTGGACCGTGATCATATCTTGGCACTGTACTAAACTATGTTGGAAACTTTACTTTCAAACTTAATTTGCTTCCGCTTTTATCTATCGAAACTCGGTTTGTAATAACTTTGATTCGTACTCTGATGATGAAAATGTATCTGTAAACTTTATGTAATATGTGGCATGTATGTTGAATCATGTACGATCTTGGTTGTTGTAAATCGTTTATCGAGACCCATCGTGGTACTCGATGGACTACCGGGTTTATATGGGTTCAAGTATGATAGTGCGACCGCTTGCGGGCGCTATTGTACTTGTACTCTTATAAATTGGTCGGTTCTGTGACAGCCTAGCCACCGAAATGCAGCTTTACTTGTGTCCACTTGCTACGTCTAAAACAAGCGTGCCCCATTATAGTTATGTTCAAAAGGGAAATAACCTGAACCATATAGGTTGAATTCAGTCCTCTCACCTCCATGGTGAGGACGAGCTTGACAAAATTCATTAGCATCACCCAATTTTTCATCATCCGATAACTTTGCAATCACAAAACCCAAATAAATTGATACACCAACAGCTGGTATTTTGTAACAAGGCCAATGTTATGCAAATCCAGTTTAAGAAGACTAACGTTGGCAGTAGAGGAGTCCTCCATTGGTAGTAACACCGGTGATCTAGACATCTCCCTTAGCGCCTTCTCCTAATCAAGCCAAACACGATTGAAAAAGGGGAAAATTATGGGTAATGAGGTAGCAATGGAAGCTAAGATGGTTGGGATTCAGAACTACAGGATCGAATCTAGACACTGAGTTCCTTCAGCGCAGCAGGGACTCCCCCAAATCCAAGCCATGCATATCGATTCTATAAGCTGTCCTCGAGCTAAAACAGGATATGCACATCACGGTTCGATAGAAAAAGAACATGAAATCGCATTCCAAGAAGGAAACCACTGTCAGTATGCTACTTAATCAGAGGGAGACAGACAAAGCAAAGATCAGACGCTCCAGAGCCGGGCGGCCATGTACGCGGTGGGGCTAGGCACGAGCAGCGAGCCGAAGGTGGAGCCGAAGAGGCTCACCCCACGTGGCGTCATGGACATGTGCGCCGCCGTGTCTGCCTCGGGGAACCTCCTCGCCCTCGCGTCGTACGGCGACTAGCCCTAGGTGTTTGACTTTTGGGTGCTCAAGACGGAGGTGACCGTGTTCCGCACGGCTGACCCATCCCGCAGCGCCATCGTGGCCACGCGCGCAGGCGTCGACGCGGTGACTACGGTCGTGGAGGCATCGTGGACATGTGCCCCACCGTGTCTGCCTCGAGCGACCTCCTCACCGTAGCGTCGTACAATGACTAGCTCTAGGCGTTTGACTTTTGTGCGCTCAAGACAGAGGTGGCCATGTTCCGCGCGGCCGACCCACGCCCACGTCGAGGCCCCGGATGGAGTCCTTGAGCGTCTCCACGTCGGCCATGAGCCCCTCGCTAGAAACGAAAGACACATCGTGGTCTTGTGGGACAGACGTGGTCGTGCCATCGTGGGGTAGTGGTCGCGCCATTGAGAGATGGAGGGGTAGGGTAGCGGGAGGCGGGCGGGGGAGTGGTGGCTGCCGACGCCAGAGAGACGATCGGCGGCTGCGGCGGTGACAGGGTCGTGGAGCTCATCTGGGCTAGGGTTGCAGGGGAAAGGAGGGAGGAGCAGAGGAGGGGGAGGACGGCGGGGGAGGGGCCGGTGCCGGTGGTGAGGTGGAGCTCATCTGGCTAGGGTTGGAGGCAGCAGGGTCGGGTGCCTGAGCGACTGAGAAATGGAGATGGGGATGGGATGAGAACTAGAGATGGAGACGGGATGGGAGCCGTGCCGAGCGTCCAAAACACGACCGGCTGGAAAGAAGTCATTACCATGAAGTAATCAAAATAAGGTAGCTTTAGTTAGAGGAGAATAGCTGACAGCTAGTCACGACAGTGCCGCATGAACCATTTGTAAATGGCCATTAAACCATTTGACAAACAACTCACATATGTAGATGACTTTATATGTGTGTAACACTGTAACAGGAGTAGTGCTATGCAAGTAGCACATGCCAAATCTGAAGGAGAAAGTTCAAGGATGTTTAACGTCATTTCGGCTAATTAATGGTATATACGTGTATATAGGCAAGAGTTGGAGGAGGAACGGGCACCTCTACATGCATGGGTGCAGATGCAAGTATGGTAGCCGTATTAATGGTGACCAACCCCAACCACCGACCACCTCGGGAGCAACGTGCACGCAACCCAAGCCGTCTCTTAGATGCATGGATGCATGTGTAAGTACAAATGTTCCTGCATGGTCGGTGAATTGTTTTTATCTGATGGTAAGGCGGAGAGGCATTAAATGTGTCCACCTGCCCGACTTGTTTTTATGTGATGGTAGCATGGAGGGGAGACATTAAATGTGTCCATCTGCTTTCGACCCACCCTGCGTAGGTGAAGAAGTCCAGTGCTTTCAAATTTACTGAGTGAATTTCTGGATAGCTTAGGGAGGCACTCGTGCATGCATGGAAATTTACTGCCTAGTATATATTGATAGTAAATTCATTAATGTAAAAGGAGAAGGCACATGTGATGTAAATTCCTCCTGTCATAGTAACTTTAACTTTCTTTATGTAGATGACACATGAAAGCACAGTGATGTAAATCCCCCTACCGTACTAACTTTTTGCATGCAAAGTACACCTACAGTTTATATTGTCCTTGCATGCATGGTCATTCAATTTTTCATCTACTTCATTGAATGCGTCCACTTGCTTCATCTATCCACTGTCGAATGCATGGAGGAAGGTGGGTTGTCACGCGCTTCATCTGAGTCATGGAATTTCTATCTGACGCACCAACTAAATGGAATATACGTGGACACCTGGGAGGCCACCTAGACAGCGTGCCTTCGTATCTCTAATATATGTGTGGGGAAGATGCAGAAGCTGCATGCATCAAGTCCACCGCCGAAACCTAAACAATGCCGCTCTGGTAGCCTGCAACTTCTTGGATTTACATCAAGCACAGCATCTTTGAGTTCCAGGCATGAGTCGTATATAGGTCATACACTCACAGTGAACAAGAATGAGATACTATAGTATCTGACCCAAAAAAATAGTAATAATTTGAGCAGAATTATCTGAACCATGAGGATGCTAGTGACCTCTATTTAGACATGGCTCCCTTTGCTTTGCTCTGTTGTCTATCTATACCACACCTTGATACCCACATCTTTTTCTACCTTTTTTTTCCTTAACCAGTTAAGCTTAGTTTATCTATGGATCCTTTTCCATGGCACTAAGCACTACTATGGTAGCATCATGAAGAAGCAAAAGCAGCAAGGCTTAAACAATAAGCACCTTGCAAAGTTACAGGACACTGCTAGCTAGCTAGCCTCCAAGGACAATCGAATGCACACTTGGTGGTGGACGGCCGGGCCGAGGAACACGCCACGGCGGCAACGCGGCTCCTCACAATGCTGTGGACATGGGCATGGATTTCCTCTTGGTGGTCTTGCCGGCGAGGACATTGCCGCCGCCCCTGACGTCGACCTTGTAGTACTGCACGAACCAGTCGACGAAATGGTGGAGGCCAACCTCGAGCGAGGTGGCAGGGTGGTAGCCGAACTCACGCATGGCGGGGCTGACATTGGCGTGCGTGAACGGCACGTCACCATTGGTTGGCATCGTGACGACACGCTTGTGTGCCTTCTTGCCGAGGAGCTTCTCGAGGATGGCGACCATGCAGGTGACGGGCATCGGCGAGGTGTTGCCGAGGCTATACACACGGAGCGGCGCGGGCTCGCGCTTCTTGCCAGACTTGGAGCCCATGCTCTTGCCGGTCGTGTCAAGCGCGCTGAGGCAGCCCCTGACGACGTCGTCAATGTAGGTGAAGTCGCGGAGCGCATCGGCGCTGTCGGCGGTGCAGAACAGCGTGGTGGGCTCGCCGGCGATGATGCTGCGGGCGAATGAGAAGTAGGCCATGTCGGGGCGTCCCCACAGCCCATAGATGGTGAAGAATCATAGGCCGGTGATGGAGAACCCGTAGATGTGGTTGTACGCGTGCGCGATGGCCTCGCCGACCTTCTTGGTGGCCGGGTACAGCGACGCGGGGCGGTCCGTGTGGTGGTCCTCGGAGAAAGGCGCCTCGGTGTTGAGCCCGTACACCGACGACAACGATGCCCACACAACCGCCGGCTATGGGTCAGCATGCCTTACCGCGGCCTCGAAGAGCGCGACGAGGCCCACGATGTTGGAGGCCACGTATGCCTGCGGCGCCCGCATCGCATGGCGCCCGCCCGCCTAGGCCGCGAGGTGCAGCATGTGCGTGAAGGGCACCACGGACAGGAGCCGCTCCAGCAGCGCGGCGTCGTTGATGTCGGTGTCCAACACCACCACGCCTTGGGACGCCAGCAGACACTGCCGCGCGCGCTTCAGGGACGGGTCGTAGTAGGCGTTGAAGTTGTCGAGGCCGAGCATGTCGTCGCCGTGAGCGCGGAGCGCCAGCGAGCAATGCGCGCCCACGAAGCCCACGGCGCCCGTGATGAGCATGGATAGCGCCCCGTCCCGCTGCGGCTTCACGCTGCGCCGCACCTCCCGCTTCCACGCCGCGCCCCACCCATACGACGACGATGTCCCCAAGCCTAGCAGGCTCCGGTGCGAGTGCCGAGACTACGGCGAGGAGGAAGAGGAGGAGGAGCCGGAGCCGGACGCGGGCAACGTGGAGGGGCTGAAGGAGTGGGAGAGCAAGGACGGGTAGTGCATGGCGAAGAGGACGACGAGCGTGAGCGTGGCGAGCACGGTGGCGCGGAAGAGCAGGTGCGACGATGCCGACACGAGTTGCTTGGCGCCCGCCTCGCACAGCAGCAACAACGCCGCCTCTGCCTCCGCGTGGGAGCCCGCCATTGCTGAGGCCATGATGTCGAGACGCTGCGCCGTCGCGCCGCTTCCGCGTGGGGCCCGCCCTAGGTGAGGCCGCACGCTGGGGCCATTGTGCCGCCCACTAGAGCCTCCGCCGGATCCGTCCATCCGTATGCCCGCACCGCAAAGAAGAGAGAGGGAGGCGCAGTGAGGTAGAGAGCGGAGCCAGGGAGAAGCGAGTGGAGAGGCAGATATTTTTCAGCCAGCCCAACCAGAGGTCGATAGCGAAGGCTGCCTTTATCTGAGATGGGTCGACTCACCACAGTTTATATTGTCCTTGCATACATGGTTATTTAATTTTTCATCTACTTCATTGAATGCGTCAACTTGCTTCATCTATCCACTGCCGAATGCATGAAGGAAGGTCGGTTGTGACGAGTTTCATCTGAATCGTAGAATTTATATCTAACACACCAACTAAATGGAATATACGTGAATACCCTAGGAGGCCGCCTAGACGGCGTGACTTCGTATCTCTAATAATATAGTCCACTACATTTATCACAATTTGATTAAGAGAATTAGTTGACATTCCTTTACTAATTAATTTCTCTGGTGACTTCTTTTCGTGGATGTTCCTGCTATTGAACGGTGATACATTAGTAACAGTAATTTCTTGCTACGAAAAGACATGCACCAGCTAGGGCTACTAACCAGTAGAGTAACTGTGCTTGGAGCAATAAGCTCGATCTACACATGCAAGAGGACTACTGTAGGTGAGATGACCGGTTTTACTTGCCTGGTGCGGTACACTGCCACTACATGCATGCGCGTGCACCAGATAGGTGTAGGCTTTGTTTAGATGGCTTCAAAGTTGCAAGTTTTTTCACTTTTTTTTATTATATCAATTTTTGGACATATATATGGAGTATTAAATGTAGATAAAAAAATAACTAATTGTACAGTTTAGTTGTAAATTACGAGACCAATCTTTTGAGCCTAGTTAGTCCATGATCGGACAAAGTTTGTCAAATACAAACGAAACGTGCTACAGTGTCCATGTTACAAAAATTTGCAATCTGAAAAAAAAAGGCCGTAGTAAAGGAATCTTGATACTGTCATATTAATTATTTATGTATCTGATAACTATCCAAGCATGGATCAAAAGCAATAGTAATTGATGACATCAACTATTAGTAGTACAAGACGATGTATAAAAGATGGATAATGAAGTAAAGTGATACTTAACGGGAGTAGTATTAATCGGCTCATGCATGGTAGCTAATCGTCCGGTTCATTTGGTCTTATTTGGCTTATAAACCATAACTAAAAGTACTATTGACTGATTTGGTGTGGAGAGAAAAATACTATTTATTAGCTGAATAAATACAGCTTATAAACTAAACAAACCAAATGAACAGAGCAAATATCTAAATAAATTGAACTAGCCACACAAATAGAAGAACACGTCATGTTAAAGCTTGTAGTTGCATACTTGAACGGCTAGCTAAGGACTAGAGTGACTAGATCACGGCAAACAATGAATGGAAGGCTAGTATGACTGCTACAGCATATGTACCAGAGCAGATTGGATAGTACCAGCTCCGGCCCTGGCCGTCGGGCCTTCCCTTCCACAGGCCCAAGAACGAGAACTATTGATCGATGTGTGTGTGGCGCGGGTCTGGAAGAGACGAGAGAAGGGCATTTTATACTAGCGTTCGAGTGTTCTTCATAGCGTTCATAGTAAATGGGAGGAGGATCAGACCATAAAAAAAATCAGCCAAGAGATATCTTCTTTTTTAGTTTGAGGTTTTAACAGATATGTCTAGAAAAAATTACACACCCAATATATTTGTTTCTCCGGTATATATAGTTTTTATCATTCTTTTCTTTTCTTCTCTTTTTTCCTTTCTTTTGATCATACATGACTTAAATGGGTTGAATCATTTTTTTTTAATAATAGAACAAGGTTCCAGTCTCTACGGTCTGGGGATGATAAAATGGTTGAATCATAATTTTGGGTTCGTGTGCGGGGATCACTGTTAGATGGTAATATAATACAACTAGCAGTGATAATATCATTGTTGTATTACCGACTGACAGTGATATTTATTCATCGTTATCGGTTGTTTTAAAATCCGATAGTGATAGGCTTATTGCTTACGAGGTGCCAGCAATGATCGTCTGTTCTGTAGTAGTGAACAAATACATGACTTTCATGTCACTGACACTAGTTGAGCTCAATATTCTTGTTACGTGATTTATATTTGTTTTAACTCTTGTATTATAACTGTCGACAAAAGATGCTCGACAGTCCTCCGAGGAGTATCCCACAAAGATAGATTTGATCGGCAGAGGTGCGCATAATTAAGAACAAGAAGGCAACAGAGACACAAGAGTTAGACAGGTTCGGGCCGTCAGCACGATGTAATACCCTACTCACTTGGTCTGTTGGTTTATATTGGCTATCGTATGATATTGCATGTATTTTGAGGGGGTCCCCTACCCGCCATATATAACCGGGGGTAGAGTTACAAATCGGTTAGATTTAGGAGATAACCGATAAGTAATAACATATTATAGGAAACACGGGATCGTAACATATACTAACAGATTATGTCGTATCTTCAGGATATCTTCCCGGTGTCTTGCGGGGCGCGCCAAGCAGCGCCGTGCTCCGGAAGGCTTCGTCTTATGGGCTGGACCACCCCTGGCAGCACAACCCATGTAGTCTGTCGTGGGTATCCGGGGTTGTACCCCCCACAGCTAGTCCCCGAGCGCCTTGTATCCGCTGTGTAACGCCGTCTTGAGCTTGTCCGAGCAGGTGTAAACAAAGCCGAGCAGTCAGACTCATAGTTCGACCACTCTAATGAGTCGTCGAACAGTTGTGGACCGTCGCCGAGTAGAGGATCCCAAGTAAGGCTTGCTAGAAGGATGTAAGGAGCTCAAGTTCAAAATCAAAAATTTTCTCGCTGTGAACCAAGTGTGCCCACTTAGAGTCCGACCACGAGAAAGAGAGATAATCTTCTTCAACTTCAAAAAGCACGGAGTCTTCTAGATTAAAGAAAACACACTCACTGCAAGATGAAGTGTGCCCACTTAGTCCTCGAGCCTGGCAGTAGGTGATGTGGTCACGTGGTGCCACGGTTAGAAAGTAGAAGAAAGGTAAAAGACCAGCCGAGCAGGCAACCAGTCCACGGGCAGAACCCTGAAATGAAAAGCACACATTCACCGCAAGGTGAAGTGTGCCCACTTAGTCCCCGAGCCTGATAGTAGGTGACATGGTCACGTGGTGCCAGGGTTAGAAACAATAGTAACTAAAAAAGTCCCCAGTATGGTGAGAGACCGAATCATAATGATGACGTAGTCCCCGAGCCATAAGTGGAAATCTTGGATAGATCAAGAAGTACCGATTACTCAAATCATGGAGAAAAAGCCAGAGTAATGGCTGTACAGTAGAAATTACTGAGCCTTGATAGCATTGCGGAGGGGTCGGCGAATATTCGGTGTGAAGTACCAAGTTGTGTCGAAGAATGGGCGATATGGACCGCAGTTGCGCGGAAGCCCAGATATCGGCCCAGCATGCCGCTTTGGAGAATTCGGAAGGATGCCAATCAACATGGTATGGTTTCCCAAAAAACTTTGAATGCGAAAAGTGGGTACGGTTTCTTTATAATCGCGGTGCCACACTCCGCGCTCCCACCTTTTCCACTCCGCCACTTCGCCTTCCTCCTCAGCCTCGCGCTCCCCAATTCTCATTCACACACGCTCCGCCGCTAGGGCTAAAGAGCTTGCGAAAAAGGCCAATTCCAATCCAGATCTGAGGCATGGCGCCGAAGAGGGGGTGGTAACCCGAAGAAGGCGGCCACCGGGGTGAACCGTGACAAGGAATGGGTGTCGTCACTCATAGGGGAGATGGAACTCAATGAGATGGTGGAGGCAGGCGTTCTTCCTGACCGTATCACCGCCGGATGGCGTCCGGCCGACGGTGAGCCCTATCCGATTCCACACACCGACGAACTTGTTGTGTTTGAAGATTATTTCTGGCATGGATCAGGACTTCGGTACATCCTTTCTTGCGGGATCTGTTGGAGTATTGGGGAGTGAGTTTGTGTAATCTCCATCCGAACACTATTTTGCACATTTCTGTGTTTATCCATTTTTGTGAGGTCTATCTTGGCATTCTTCCCCATTTCAATCTCTTTCGACACTTGTTCTGGCTCAAGAAGAAAGGAGGGGGTGGTTCTAGATTGGTCGGCGGTGTGTATCTGCAGCTCCACGGCGGGATGGCGGGCGAATACATTACTATGCCACTGAATACCTCACTGAAGGGGTGGAATGCTAGGTGGTTCTACATGAAGCAAAATCATCCCGCCATCCGATGTGATGCCGACCAGATTCCAGAGAACCAGAGGAGCCGGTTGGAGAAACTGACCAGTGCCGATATGGAACAGGTGAAGGAGCTCCTCGAGCTAATGAGGGGCATGAAGATGAGCAGAGTAGTGGTGGCGGTGAACTTCATAATACGCCATGTCTAGCCCTACAAGGAGAGGGCTCATCCGGGCTCTAACTTCAAGGGAGATACTGATGACACCCAGGAGAGGACAGAGAGACTGACGAAGGAAGCTGTGCTACACTGGGCCATTGAACTATTCACTCCAAACGTGTCGTACTGCATGCCAGGGTAGCCGAAACCTTTCAAATGCACGAACCCACCTCCTCAGGTAAAAATCTTGACTATTGTTCTTGGTTCTTTTTATCTAGTGTCGGCAATGAGCAGTGGACTGATTCGCTTGTGGAAAGATCCATTTGTAGGAACGGGCGGCGTACTTCTCGAGCATGCCGAGGAGCCATTGGCCAAAGGCAGTGAAAACCAGGCCGACCACTCAGCCACAGGAAGGTGTCGTCAGCGCCTCATTCGAATCTAAAGGCGAAGGTGCTGGTCGGAAGGAGAGTCCCCCCGGTATCAGAGAAGGTTCGGGGGAAAAGGGTAGCGACAGATGAGCTGGCCCAAAAGAAGAGAAGAACGGTGGATGTAGCTCCACGCAAGCCGGTTG